TACTTGCTTTGGCTTCTTGCATCCCTGATAAAACAAGGACTCTGGAACGCGAGGAATGCTCTCATCCAGCACAAACCAGAGTGGGGAGTGAGGGGGCTGGAGGAGAGGAACCTTGTGAACCTCAGAAGGAGGATGAAGCACAACGTCGCCAAATGGGGCTTCTCAGCCGCAATGGAGTGCTGGAGGGGTCTGTGGGCCCTGTACAGGGACTAAAGAGGAAATCCCTGTTCCTTGGAGCTCCTCCGGAGGATTGGGCGACCGCAGTTTCAGAGCCAGGACAGGAAAAATGCATGGACAGCAGCAAAGTGGTAGGGCTTGGAGGGACTCTCTCATTGTGCAAATCGAGCCCCAACATCCACTTGCTCTGATTGATAAAGGACAATGGTTTGTTAGAGTGTGTACTTATTGTGAGATGTTTCTTGTGAAGTTTATTTTGATAGAAAAAAAAGGATAGTGGAACCAAGCCATTCAAGAGTACTTCCATACCTAATTTTCTGAGAGACCATCGGAACCTTCACGAAAACCCTAAAAGACCTTACACTGTGCAGACCTCCGCTCAAAACCTCACAGAGGAACAGAGCAACACTCAGCACCAGCAGTATCAACCTCAACCCACAGAAAAACAGATGAATGACCCAGAGAAACCTGCACCTACCTCCTGGACCGCTCCGGCATCCACACCCCTAAACCAAACCATCCCAGCCCACATAACTCAAAACCAGTGCACCCCTCCAACCTGGACCAGCAGCAGGATGGGACTAATGGAGAGCACCCCCTATCCCAGTGTATTGCCTGTCTAATGGTGCCATATACAAAAAATCATAACATATTAAAGAAAAGATTCACATATGAAACCATGACCATGACAGGTGAGGGGGCCTGCCTGGTGTGTAAAACACCTGGTTGTAGCATTGTGAGTGATGTGGAGCAAAAGCTATTGACTTGTGAAGAGCACCCCCTATCCCAGTGTATTGCCTGTCTAATGGTGCCATATACAAAAAGTCCTCAAGAAATAAACTTTCACAAAGCAAAGCTGTGAAAAGTCAGTCTAAAACATTTGTTTTTGGTTTGAACATCATGGGTGCTGTTTCTAAAAAGCTGTTGAGTACAGAAGAGGATGTTTCCTGCTGTCAGCAGTGTTGTATACTGTATGTAGTTGACCCTTACCTGAATGAAAACAGGACATAAAGAGAGGGCTCCAGAAATAAAACAAAGCTTTATCCCCGCACTTACAGACTGGATAAATGGAGACTACTCTGAGCCTGTCTCTGTGCTGTTCTGCTTCCTATGGTCGTTGTTGTTCGCATGAACACCTCAATTAAAAACCTGAGGTTTATAAAAAGACAGTTAGCTCACTGATAGGTTTATGAAAAGGTTGTGAACAGGTCTGAAGCCTTCGTGTGTTTTCCTTGCAAAGGTATTGCAACTTGGAGCTGTACTCCCGTCCTAAGTCAGAGGTACTGTATGGGTACACAACGCTCTACTGCCCTCCCACCTCACACAGACTGAGCTGTGCCTTCGCTGTGGAAGCGTTCATTCCGCTCGAATACGCAGGGGGAAAGAAAATTCTACGTACCTATAGCGATGCTAACTTCACGACCAAAGCGTTTTTAATCAGTTTTTTTCGACAAAAATGCATTATGAGAGGATTCTGATTCTGATATGCATTTTACAGTCCACTGTTGAATCTCAGGATCTTGGACCCAGACTCATAATCCGCAAGGGTAAGAAAAAAACAGCTATTAAAATATAATGTACATGTATTGACATTAGAAACATTAGTCTGTTTTCATTTTCTTCTTTTTTCCTTGTAGTCGTCAGGATATAGAATTATATAACACTGTACAATGAAGGATTGTATTTGGAAATCATAAACAAATAGCGCTCAAAAATAGAATTTAAGGTGCGAACACCCTCTTCATTATATTGTAATATGTGATTTATTCGATTTAACTTGCGTCGATAGTTTCATACGCTTTCCTGAAATTAATTTACAGGATTATTAATTGGTTTTGATATACTAAAAAAATGATGTTGGTCTCGATGCGTCACAAAATTCAAAAGAATGTCTTTGCTATGACGCTGACATCAGTACATGATCCTGTCGTGAAGGAGTATACTGTATGTATCAAAATGCATGCTAGAGTCTCTTAGCTTTTATTTATTCCATCGTAGTTTTAATGTATATGAAAATAAAACTCATCAGTTTAACAAACCTGTACATTTGCTCTATTCATTTGAGATAAGAAGTTTTGCTTAACGAGCTTGTGTTGTATTGAGTATTGTATCTGATATGTGAGGAACAAGGCATATGTCCGACAGACAAGGGCATAAACGTACGCTCCAAAATACAGAGTTCCCCCACCTCACGTTCTTCTAAAAAACGGTCTAAGAAAAATATAGAATCCAAAACGTTTTTCTGTGTAGTGACGTGTGTTTTTTTTAAGAAAAGCAGCGATAACGTGTTGCATTCTCACATACAGTACGCCTCAATCACCAATCACTCGAACATGAATAATATAAAAAAAACATCACATTTTTATTTAAAGAATCACATATTTTATTCAGTTCGCCTGAGACGGCTTCCCAACAAGCTTTTTCACATACCGCTGTCTCGTAGGATATGAGTCTGTAAATACAAGGGCTCGACAGGGGATGACTCGGCATTAACGGGGGAAATTCTCATCGCGGTTTTTTTGTAAAAATAAACGGGACTGGAAATGTTTAAAACTAAGTTTAAAATAACTCATTTGTTGAGGACTATCTGTACTTGAACTGCAGGCAAAAATACAGTCCTAGTCACCTCTAATAATGTTATCTTCTAAGTGTAACATACTGTAGCCTAAATGTTGCCGGTTGAACTAATTTGACAACGATGCTCCTTCGCTTATTGCACCCTCCGTTACCCCAGCAAGTGACAGTAAAATATTCCAGTGAAATAACTGGGCAGTTCAAGTCACTTTAAGACTTTTTAAAGTGTTATTTTTTTTAAAGAAAAGGATAATGATCAACTTTATTTTATATAGCGCCTTTACAAGTGGTTTCTCAAAGTGCTTTACAGTAAGACAAAAGTCCACAGTGAGAGGAGACGGCATGATTACACAATCACAAAGAGGGTTTGGAATAAAGTAGGAAAGCAGTGGAGCAGACAGAACAAGTTAAATAAAAGCCTACAGTATACAGTATAAAGAAGAATGCCAGTGGAAAGATCTATACCTTTTCTTTAGTAAATACAGAACAAAACTGCAGTGCTTTGTGTCAGATGTCACACCTTTGTCTGACACCCCTATATGGATGTTGAGTGACATGTCTCAAACACTGAACGCTATGATGGCCGTCTATGATATACTGTTTCGAGCATTGTGGTGAATGGCTTTTGTCAGTCATCACTTTATCACTGTACTCTTAATGCAATCAGGAAATTCATTATTTAAACGACAGGATATTCAACATGCGAGTCTCTGGGGAACAAACAAGTTACACTTTACCAGCAGCTGGTGAAGTGGTAACAATACAGGCTTGAGGAAGGGTATTACAGCTGAGAGCACCATTGTGAACAGGAAACAGACAGCCACGCATCACAGGTGCCAAGATCTAACAGCAGCTTGAAGTAAGACAAGCAAGTAAACAGGTAGACATATCAGACCTCTTTTTCTTGGGCTCAAGTTCCCACCAAATGTGTTATGGTCCTGAGCCTTTGTCTGCTCCTGATACTGTATTTTTAGATGTACAACCCTGGTAAAAAAAAAACAGACAGCTAAAGATTGAAATCCTTATACTTAAATGCTGTAGTTTCCCGATATCTTTGTACTTTGCCTTCCCATTTATTTCGAAGGTGCCTTGTGTTGTGATGGGTAGTTTGTCCCATACTTGTGGGAGTACAGGACAAGATAACCAGCCATGTTGTCAAAGCCAATACCTTGGCTTCCTTCAAGAAAAGGCTGGAAGAGATCCTAGGCTTAACTAGCTACTAACTACTAAACTGGCTAGATGGGCCACATTGTCTTATTTGCGAAGGTTCTTATGTCTCCTAAATTCTGTATTGCATCATGTTCCAGGAGCTGGTTGATAGTAGATTATGAAAACAACTACAAGAAAGCGAGACTAAGCTCTTTGTCCATTCCACAGGGAAGAAAAGATAAAGAGTACAGTATGTGTCTGAGAGACACAGAAGCAGATGTTATTATTAAAGAAAGATTAAATTCAGCACATTTTGAAACATCGATGCTTTCAATACAGTGAACATACAGATGCCACAGAACTGGTAGAAGACAGTCTGCATGAACTGGCAACAATGTCCTTGGTTTCTAAATCTTAACAGAAAGCCTGATAGGAAAAACGACAACCTGCCTTTGCTTATTTCCAGATGACGACGCCAACAGATTATGGTACAAAAGAAATCAGAGCCACACTGTGTTCTTCCTCCCTGAAGGCTCCGATGACCTGTTCGTTGGTGTTACAGATGCCATCTACAGGATTGACCTGAAGCAGAACAACTTCACACAGGTTAATGCAAAACCAATGTTCAGACTTTTAGAAGTGGCAGCAAACTGTGAAACTATAGCCCAACTTCATTTCTCTAGGTCATGTTTCCAAGGCTTAGTCCAAGAGAGCTCTTGTGCTTTTTGGTTTCTGTTTCAGCTGCATTCTGAATTAATTGAGCTTTCTGAAGGCTTGATTGGTATAATCGTTTGATTTTAAGTAACTCTTCGCTGCTCTCATGTCATGATTCAGAATTCATCTCTTTTGTGAGTATTACTTTCAAGAAATGTCACAGCAAAACTCCATTCCTATTCCAATTCCATTCCAGATGGTTTCTAAATTATTTCATTTAAACAGTGACCCACTGAAGTATTGAGACTGTTACAGGCTTGAGAAATGGCCTATTTGAAGGTCACCTATAAAAGTGTGTTGGACTATGGCTCTAAAGGAACACTACTGGTCAGCCCTGATTTATCACATGAATAATTTTGCAGTCCAGGATTGTTTAAGTGAAATACTCCAACACTAGGTGGTCTTTGTCACTGGGGCAAGCAGTTTATTCCCTTCTGCATGCACAGATTTGTGCTGAATTCATCTGTGTCTTTTACAAGGATTTAGAACTATCAAACCATCTTACATGTTGCACTTGGAAATTCTGTCTCATGTACACTTTGGGCAATTGATGAACAGTTGTGTTAGTTATATTGTGTCTATTAATAAGGTTTTGCTTTCTGCAGAAATTCTCATTGAAAACAACTAGAAGAGACTGTGAAGAGGTAATTGTGTTCTCCTTCATGTTACATCTCTGCTGTCACATGTGTAATGTGCATATTTTGTTTAGTATTATAGCAGACTATAGTTACTATACTTGTAATATAATATTATATTTTATGTAATATATAATAGCATAGTAGTATGATTTCTTTTGTTGCTATTTGTATGTGTTAAAATCACTATGACATAAATTAAAAGTAAATTAAAACTATGACATAAATTAAAAGTTAAAATAACACCAATAATATTAATGTGAAAATTATGTACAAAAAGTAATTTATGTGTTTCAGCAAAAAGAAACCTCTAAGTACATTTTTGAAAAAAAAAAAGTACATAACAGAACAGAGATTAAACCTTCCTTTCGGTGCTTTACTGGTTAAATATTAAAACTTGGTATGACAAATATCTTTAGCTGTGAGGAGTCTTCTCCAATTGTAGACTTCTCCTGTCTCAAAATAAACTTAAGAGTCACACTCCATTACCTCTTTTTGAAACATCTGTAGTATTAATAGCAATGAGCTTGTAGGTTTTTTCCGCAGAACTCTGGCCTGCAGCTTAATGCTTCCTGTTTAATGTTCAGTGTATGTTAAAAAATGAAGGAATTAACTGAGGAGTAAATTTATGAGGGCCTATGCACCTGTGAAGGGCAGGAGTGATTGTTTATGTATTTACTCTGAAGCTAAAATTTATATCCAAGCAGCATTTTGTTTTTACACTCTGTTTTAGGACTCTTGTGAAAATGTCATCACTGTCATGCAGCAGTTTCAAGACAGCCTGTTTGTATGTGGGACTAATGGGATGAGACCCCAGTGTTGGAATCTGGTAAGTTTTTACTGGTTAAAGCAGTCCCCATGCTGAACAATGAGTAACAGCAGCAATTGAACACCCCATGTTGTTAGCTAAGCGATATGCATTTCAGATAATTGATCATTGCTGTGAGAGTGACATATTGGCCATTTTTGTAATAAAGTGAGATTTTAAAGAAAAAATAGTGTGCAGGGGACCTTTTCTTTTTCATGTTTATGTAGTACTACTGCTACAATACACTGTGAAAAGACAGTGAAGCTTTACAGCGTTTCTCACTGCAAAGCTTATGATAAAGTTTTACAAAACTAAAAGTTTAATGATCTGGCCTTTATCTATTTTGGTCTCAACAATTTCCTGACAGAAATTATAAACCTCTGACTTTATATAAGGTTTTAAGCGGGAGTAGCTATTCTTGCCTTTGTTTCCAGCATGTGTTTGAATTCACCCACAATAAATCATATAAAACCACATTTCAATTATGCTTTATCCAAAAATTGACAGTTGTGACTAGTGAGCTATAATTTTCTGTCACTTGTGAAAATAATATTCATGGGAGCAGGTTAATATACTATGACTCCTTGGCAATCTTGGTCAGTATAATTGGTACAGTGTATATGTTTCTGAATTACTATATGCATGAATGAGGTAACAAATGTCTTTGACTTTTGTAAAATGAGGTAATGTGATATATAGAGTCTACAACCTTGAGTTCACCAAGTCTGCATGAACAATAGCTTTTATCTTTGGTAGCCCTTTTTCATGCAAGACATAGTTGCATTGCCCTTACAAAAACTTCCAGGATAAGCTCCAATCTCTGCAGTCCTCACCAGGAATGAGGAGCTACAGTATCTGATACCTCATACTGAAGGGATGGAAGGACTCTATGAAAATAAAGCATGTAGCATGGTAATGTCTGGAGTGACCACAAAGCAAACATGTCTGAAATAACAGTGGGATACTGAACCACTGATCTCTCATTCTTGACCTACACTTAAAGAAACAACACATCCTAAAGCATTTCCTTACGGTTATGTGTACACTTTATATGAGAAAAATATTTTACATTTTTGTCTGTAACAGTCTGCTGGATGTCTGTGTTTTCTTGGTACGGGTGTTGTCATTAAGAATGCTTCTACTGACTACATTTTGAGTAATTAAAAGGTATTTGTTTATTCCATGAAGCATCCTCAAGGCAGTAAGATTGTTGAAAACTGTGATGGAGTTGGGATTTCTCCATTCAGCCACACTCAGAATTCCTTGTCGCTGTCTGTAGGTAAGCCACTGGTACATTAAGTACTCTGAGCCTTAGACTTAAATGAAGCATATTTAATAGGTCTTATTCATGGCGTGTCTGACCTTTGCTGGAGTACAAGTCACAGGAAAGGCAAAGAAGAGTTTACACATAAATCCAAACTACAGACCAGACACTTACCAATGTGATGATTCAGACAGGGAACGCATTTCCTCCACTTGAACCAAACGTGTTCCTTGCCAATTCACTTCCTCTTTTCTGTGACGCCAGAGATATAAGATCAGGACGCTCATTAGCTAATTAATCAAACCGATCCAATGTATGGCATGTACTCAGCTCCCCCTCCTCTCTGGCCTCCACCTGCTTTCCTGGGTCTGGACAACATGGAGAGCCAGTATACTGCCCCTCCTCCCAGCAACTGCTACTGGCTGTCCAAGCTAATCCCAGGGACCACTTGGGGAAGAGGCTCCCTGATGACCAGGGCCAAAAGGCCCTGGAAGTAATCAAATGCACAGTAAATATTTGTTTCCTAGGAAATTAGTTCTTCCTGAATACGTGTACACTGCCGTGTCACTGTAAATCTGGGGCAGACTGATTAAGCTAAACCAAATTATTCTGGAGCTCTAGCAGCTGTTTCGCTAATGACATCAGAGATGGGGAGAAATACTGTACACTGCTAGAGGCCACCGCCACAGATTTAGTAGGAGAAGTGTAGCAAAATGGACAGAGAAAGTTCTGTTACAGGTCATCTTTACATGTTTTAGCATAAAGAATGATTGATAAGCGGTATCTGGGATTAGCTATAGGAGGCTGTTTTTATTCCAGAATGGGTATTTTAAATCCCAATTCAAATGAATTGCTTTTATAACACGGAGGTATGAATTATATTCCATTACTTGTGGCTTCACTATATACCTTATTTTTTGCAACAAAATATTCCCATTTTGGTCTGCCAGTAGTTCAAATATGTATTTTTCATTAACTTCCTCTTGCATGAACACTCACTGGAGGCATTGTAGAGGATAGCGCCCTTGTTTTTGTTTGTTTGTTTTTGGAAATGATTCTAATGGATGATATTACAGTAGGGATGTGAAGGTTCACAGAGAGTGTCACCTGCCTAAAAACAGAACCTACGTCCTCTTGTTTTTGTCTTTTCACAGAAGGGAATCTGTACGCGGCCGCTCCTTTGCGTGTGAAAGGAGCGAACCTCCAGTTCCGGAGGATGTGTGGCAACAAAACGAAAGTCTGGATGTACAACAGCTGGACGGCAGGTGAGTTTACTGGTTAGTGTCCACAGCTGGTGTCGCAGTGTCAGGCTTCTCCCCCTCGGACTGCAGCGGTATCACCCTTCTTGACTGAAGGAGAGCCGAAGTTCTGTCCGTCCTCTGTTTCACTGTGGCACAATCTTTCCCACTCGCTGGCATCATCCTGTTTACAGGACTAGGACAGAAGCCAAAGACCTCAAACTCCTTCACCCGGGGTTCAGTGACTAATGTATATTAGTGCTCTCTATTTTTATGCAATGTTTCGAGCTAATTATATACTTGGAGCTTGCCGAAAGCCATGTGATATTCAGCTAACTTTTAGAGCATGAACTTGTAGAACACTATAGTACAGACAAAAGAGAAACTCTAGGATACTTTTCTGGGAATATCATGCCATTTTGTCCCATAGTCCCAATGATTAATTACCAATATTAATAATGGAGCGTTTCTGTTATCATGACAGAATTGTTCTTTATTGTTCTATTATAGACACCATTGTCGTTGGATTGTAAAAATGTGAAAATTTCTTATTTCAATTATTTTGTAAAAGGCATTGAAATTAAATGCCTTATCACAGAACTAACAGTTTTGTAGAGAGAAGGGTTACACTTCAAGATTAGACAGCTAAGCATCAATCCCTTATGCACTGGCCTTTATATAATTGTACATTTAATAAAACAGATCTTCTAGGTAAGTAAGGGATGTGACGTGTTCAAAACGTCTTACAAAATCTGGGCTTAAAGCCCTTCTACTCCTTTCAATTTCTAAATTCACAATCATAGGGTGGTTTATTGTTTAATCTCTCAACAGAGCCCACCTTTATTTTTGCCTCATGGGTTAGCAGACAAGAGGACCCTCAAAATGATAAGATTTACATCTTTTTCCGGGAGAAGAACTCAGACAAGAGCCCTGAAGCTGACCCATGGATTTCAAGAGTTTCCCAAGTTTGCAAGGTACAGTATTAGCAGTCAAGCCAGCTACATCATAACCCACAAGATATACAGTATGTATATGTGCTATATGGAGTCATAACCTACGAGAGGATGGCACATACTTCAGAGTGTCAGCCTGCTGCTGTTATTTGTGTAACTGAAGGAAACCTGTGCCTTTTGTGATTTATTTTGTGATGTTTTAGTCACAATAAAACCTGGCTTAACCTGCTTGGCTGCGGACTAACCTCCTGACCTGACGGGCAGGTGCAGAGGTGGAGATGGGGTGGAGGAGGGATGCAAGAGACTTATGTGGGACACAGAAGGGATTATGTACAGTTCATTTTAAACTGGTTTGAAATTGATACATTTTTCAATTAGAAACATCAGCACTGGAATTTTTCAGAGGTATAGCTAAATACTGTATGGTCTTTGGAAGTGCAGGACACAAAACTGATCTGAAAAGCAAAGTCACAAAAAACATTATACATTAGTTGATGCAAACTGCTAGCTACATAATCAGCACTTTAATTACTGAGAGAGAACTCACTGTATTTGTGGCTCCTTTCCTGAAGGCTCAGTCAGCACAGAAAAGGCTGAGTGCGACAGTAATACTGTTGTTATAGCTGAGCTGTTCCTGCATGTACTGTACTGTGAACTCAAGACCTTTAATAAGTATGCTAACTGTAAAGCTGAGGTATGCAAGAAATTGTTTTCATTTGGTCAGCTCCCTGCATGTCTGAAAACCTGCATATCGCATTCTCATTTCACAAGCAGAACATTCACCATGTTCAGACTGTTGAGTGATCATTTCATCGAAGAACAGGTGAAAAAACAAAGCTATTCAGTGCAGCTGCATACAGCTATTGCCTGTATGTGTAGTGAGGAACATACAACATAGTGTACTGTACACTATCATTTGTATATTTATATGTATACAGTATGCTCATCATACATATATTTTTTCAGATGTTTTATGTTCACTCATTCAGTAACAGAATTATGCAACTACACAAAATAAAAGGAATATGAACAACACAGACAACATAAATTCACCACAGTAATAAAATGTTTCTAGAATGTTATCATCATCATCCCATTTGTGTTTCAATGATTATTAATGTGCAGGAAACTGAAGGATTTATGGTTGGGGATTGACGTGGATGGAAACAGTCCACTGTGGAGATCTGTTTTCACATATTTAAACACTGCAATACCTACAAAGCTTCATTGTAATAGGAAATCCTGACGTTTTTTTATTCCATAAATTCAAACAATCACTTCCTGCTTGTTCCCTCAGCTCCATCTGCTGCTGCTGTTTAGCTTTTCCCTTAAATGTTCATTTTTTTTTATTTTAACGAGCACACCCCCTAGACTCCCAAGTCTTTGAACACATCTTAACTGTATAACTGGTTAATTGTACTTAATGTTTGGATTTTTACATTTAGTTTTCAGAGTCTCTACCTCACCTTTTGTACATAGAGGTTACATGTAAGTCCTGGGTAAAATAAAGCCTAAATCTTCAGTTCTAAATGTCACATACTGTATGAGAAAAGAACACACTGTTTTTTAAACAGTGTCTTTTAAAAAAAGTAATATCATTTTTTGGCAAAAAAAACTACTAAATCTGGGCAGTGTGATTAAAGCAGAATTAGGCGTTTGTGAGGCAGAGCTGTCTTAGCTTATGACTAAACTTTTGACTGACTAAAATATCAGTTGTCCAGTGTAGCTGTACAATTCGATTATTGTAATAACCAGAACCAGAACCTGCTATGTTGAAATATTGTTTCAAGTAACTGGAGAGAAAGGCAATCCTCCACCTCCTTTAGGTTCCCCGGCATGTTTCTCCTGTTCCTGACAGCTCATTTCTCATTATGCTGTCTTGCCTCCTCAGGTGGATGAAGGAGGCTCCAAGAGGTTGTTCCAGAACATATGGACTTCGTTCCTGAAAGCACGGCTAGTCTGTGGAATTCCAGCAGATTCGCTTTATTTCAACCGTTTACAAGACATCTTTGTACAACATGCAGACAACTGGAAACAAAGCCGAGTTTACGGTCTCTTCTCCAGCAGCTGGTAAGCATGTTCCTTTCAGCTCACCCTCTTCACATATCCCTGGAGTACAGTTTTCTTAAAGACAATTGGTAAGCACCATGGGTAGTGTTCTGTAATGTTCTGGTGTTTCAATGTAAAAACAACACATGAAGCTAAGAAACATTGTCCTCATGTACAGTACGCCAAGGTGTCTCTCCTAATGCACGAACTGTCTCTGGATGTTTATAGGAACTCCACTGCTGTTTGTGTTTACTCAATGGAAGAGATTGACCGTGTCTTCGAGCACTCTGCCTTTAAAGGCTTCTCAGAAGAAATACCTAATCCAAGGCCAGGAATGGTAAGCAATTTTCTTTCCTTATGTGTCAGTCAACCAAGGTGAAATGTTTCAGTTAAATACATAATCTCTTGTTTATTTTTTAAAGGGAATGCTTGGTATATATCCTAGAGTTCAACACAAGGCTTGCCTGCACTTTGGATAACTTGTCAACATGTATACTTTTGCTGAGGTTACATTACACCACTTTTGCACCTTCTTATTTATTAAAATAGAAGTTCTGTGCATTGCTTAAAATTAACACAAAAAAACTAAACTGCCTTAAAGACAAAAGGGGATACACAGGGGAGGCACTGATAAATCCTAGAAGATAGTCCAATCTTTTACATTTACTTTACAGAAATCTTCCTGTTACTCCTCTTCAATTGATTTTTATTCCTTTTTCTAGTCTGTGGTTTTGGTCTGACTCTTCTAGCTATGACAGGTGCAATTAACCCAGTCCAGCAAAGACTCATTTGCTCATTTGCACATACTGTATGTAACTGATTACAGCCTAAGAGAAATGTCTGTTGTTGACCACATGTACCAATAATTGGCTAATATAAAGTGGAATAAAAGTAGGCTTCAATGAAACTTCAGATGTGCCGGGGGCCGTTGAATGAACCCCCATAGTGTGCAAAATTGTTTCCAGGGCTGTAGGGCTGTACTTCAGAAGTGAAGTCTTCAGTTAAACGAGGCAGTTTTCCATCGGTGTAGCTGAACTACTCTTTTGTGTGTGGCCAGGGCTGGCAGACATGTGAAAGAAAACATGTTTCATCCAAATGGACTGAAATCTGATGGCAGATAGGATCAGATTCCCCACTGTTAGGTTCAATATTTAATGATCAAAGACCCAAAGTGTTTAAATCTGCACCAGCTTCATCTTAAATGCATTAGGTGTTTCACATCAGCCTGAAATGAAAGGTTGTGTGATGTGGCGAGGTCCAGATGTTGAATGGGTGCCCCAGATGTTGCTACACTGAACGAGATGCCCACTGTCTAGATGTAAACTATAGTGACACTGTACATTACAATTATAACCTATAGGAGTCTCAGAATACTAACTTCTTGATTAAAAAAAAATATTTGGAGATTTAAACAAAATAACTTAAAATATTTTTTAGAAGAAAATATGATACCTAGACTGAAATGTTTATTTATTTATCTTTAAATCTTCTAAAAAATGAATAAGATTAGAGTTACCCCGGTGCTCAATCCATACCATTGTATAGGAATGTAGTGTGGCCTAAGGGACATACTTTATTGTATCACAGAACATCTAACCTATAATTTTGGATTACTTCTAACACTGGGTGGATTGACATTCTGTCAAGATAACAGACATGATACAACCATTAAACCAGTAGGAAACTACAGAAAAGTGAGAAACATCTGGATGCTTTTACAGCAGTTAACATCCGTAAGAGTTTGGGTATACCAGAAATATCTTCCATAACATCCGACCTGTGCTCCCTGCTTTTTGTGTTGCAGGATCCTTGAATGACTTGAAATCACTTCCTAATTCCCTTTATTCTTCTTGACACCTGACCCCAAAATGGTTGTTCTTTCTTTACAAAAGCAGGCCCTTCCTTCCCCACTCGCTGCTAAACAACTCCAGGCTTTATTAAATCCGAGACAAGGCATGGCATGGCTCTCCTTTACAACGTGCTTATCAGAGTCCTCCTGACAGACATTCTCCATGGGTTAGCATGAGGTTTTCTACATAAAGTATGAAGTACTTGGTACAGATAAGCAAATATTTGTTATCTCTAGTTTTATTAGATGATATATTAAAATCTTTTGTATTTCAGTGTGTTTCTGACAGCAAGAACCTTCCACTGTCCACCATCAGTGTAATAAGAGACCACCCTGAAATGGAGGACTGGGTTCACCCTATCCAGCGCACGGCTCCATTCTATATTAGCAGCAACAACTATACAAAAATCACAGTGGATAAAGTCATGGCCGCTGATGGAAACTCACACAATGTGTTGTTTCTCGCTACAGGTTTGTCTCTGCAGTCTTATTAAAGTCAAAGTTAATTTTTCACATTGCTCACACGGCTTTCCTCTGCTTTCTGTCCCCAAAGGTAAATTTCAAAACACACAGGCCAAAGTTCAAAACTTTGAAAACAACTGAGGTGGCTCAGAAGGACTGGGGATGAGGCTAATATTTTTGTAATACGTAGTCAGCAGCTCTATCTCTATATACAGTATATAGCCAGCAGCTCGACCACTCTTCAACTCACAACTGGTAGCCCGGTCTGTGTGGGTCCTAATGCCCCAGTATGGTGACTTGGACCTTTTATACTGGAAAAAGGCACCGTCCTTCTGATGAGATGTAAAACCGGGGTTCCACGGTCATTACAAATCCCAGGGTGTTTTTCGAAAAGAGAAGGGATGTTAACCCTGGCCAAATTTCCCCCTGGCCTTTATCAGTCATGGCTTCGTACTAATCCTTATCTTTGAACTGGCTTCATCACTCTGTTCTCATCCTCACTCCTCAGCCAATATGTGCTGAGCATACTGGTGGTGGTGGAGGGGAGTCCCCATTACCTCTAAAGCACTTTGAGTGGAGTGTCCAGAAAAGCGCTGTATAAGTGTAAGGCTATTTATTTTTGTAAACCTCTATCTGGGCAGAGAAACCAGGTAAGCAAGTGAAGCAGAATGAGAAAGATCTCTCTCACTGCTAGCCCAGAAGTACACCGCCTATTGTTCCTCACTTCTGACCTGTAGTGTATGCACTTCAAGAAACACACATGCTGCAAGTGCCCCTTTCTAATTTTTTTGAAACTACAAAAACTACTAAAAAGGAAGTTTCAGATATGGACACATTTCCTCAACTGAAGGTCTGTACAATGCGTGGAATGTGACAGGACCTGCCCTGTTTATACTGTTTATTGCCAAAGAATTGTGACCTTGAGTAACCCCTGAGAAAACACTCAAATCTTAGTATTTTACCTTTCTTCTTTCATTTTTGTTGAATACTTTCATTATCTTAGACTGTAGGCAACTCAAACAAGAGTGTTTTTCTTCACTTTTATACAAGTGATTTTAATAGTGATGTAGTGGTTTATATGTAAGATCACCAATCTGGAACACCAACTTATGTCTTTGAGATTATGAACTACAGTTACCTCTTATTCTCTAAGTGTCTAGAACCACTTTCTCTTGCTTAATTCTTCACCCCTCCCTATACTGTATCTCCTCGCTATTTTTGTGGAATTTAGAATGTAAGGTATGCATGTTCCACACCTTGGTACTTTGATAACTAGTATAACACAACATGTCTCACATTTTAATCTTCCAGTGCCTTGATTGAAGGTTACCTTCTAACAGACCCCCTTATAGAACATAGAATAGAACAAATATGGCTTCTGAATTTGAGAGTGGATTTTTGTCGGCAGTGTGCATACCTTTAATATCGACAAGTCTGAGGAATGGTCCTCTTTGCCTTGCTGATAAATGAGAGACATGCGATCCGAGCTGTCCTGCTCTTCAGATTTTCTGTGTTCGAAGTTTGTGGTCTTCAATTTCAAAATTAAATTGCATCAATATAAACTTCGCATTAATACACAGACTTCTTCCTAGTATTGTTGACTGAATTGTTTAAAAATAAACCAAGGATATTTGTGGTACTTCAAGATAAGAAAATTGGCCAATAAACTATAAAGAAAACAGCCTTTATTTTGGCAAGGCTTAATTTCCTGTGCATTATTTATATTTTTATAGACAAACCCCTGGTATCTACAATGTAGCATCCTTCTGTTAATGTCAGACTTAACAAAAAGTTATATGGTGATCAGTGCGGCTCATTTTTTTGTTTTAACTTTGAGATAAACCTTTATCATATACCGTTAAAACATTTTTCCCTGGCCTCGGCACCACTTGTTCTTAAAATTTCCTGTTACCAGATGCTAATTACTCTGCTTACTTCCTTCCCCACAGAAAGTGGAAGAATCCACAAAATCTTGGAGAAGAACTTTAAACCCTTCGTCATTTCAGAAACTCGCCTGTTTGACCAAAGTGTGCAAATACAGTCCATGAAACTTGTTCCCCAGAAGGTGAGCTTCTGAAAAACATCCTCACCACCTCACGGTGAAAAAGACACATAGATAAAAGCCAACTGTAAAAATAACATAACCACACTTACTGGTTTAAACTTCCAAAGGATTCTCTTAGATATTATCCATCCTGTTTTTAAATCTCTTACATAATGTATAAGTAATATCTGTACAGTTGATTAACATATGTAGGGTTATCTTTTTGTACTAAAAAATATAGTTATATATTTTTTTATCTATAAAACCAAATAAATCTTACCCAATATGGTAAGAAGTATTGCATTGTACTATATCCTGGGCGAGCTTTCAATGAAAATTGTGGAAAAAGTAAAGTTGTTAAGGAGGTAATATTACAGGATTTGTGTTTAACAAGCTGTTGTTCATCCCTTTCCAGAAAAAACTGTATGTTGGATGTGAAGATCAGATAGCTCACGTAGACCTGCAAAGATGCAAAGACTATGGCGAGACATGCGAACGATGTGTTTTGGCCCGTGATCCGTACTGTGCCTGGAGCCAGTCACAATGCGCTCCAGTGTCCCCGTGAGTACAAGAATATTTTCATATCTAATGAAGAATACAGCCGTGTTCTGCCCCCAGTGATAACACAAGTGCCTTTTCTTTTATCATTTTGCAGAGGAGCCATTCAAAATGTTACAGAAGGAAATATTGATGTTTGCCACCAAGACAGAAAAGGTAGATCCTTGCACCAAAATAAACTGATATAATAGTTGTTTTCTTTTACCAAACAAAGAAATCCCCTGATATAATATAACAATGGCTTGCACATTTTGTGGATCTGTGAAGATGAGGATCTCCAGAAGATGTAAAAAAACCCAAGAGGCTCTTTACTCACATTCTGTGTCCGTTCTTTCAGATGCAAGGAAGAGGCAGAAACGCAGCAGCTCTGCGAACTCATCCGGCCAGTACGCCGTCCCTCTGAACTTCCCACTGTATCTGTCTTGCCCCATAAATTCCCTGCATGCCACTTACACCTGGGAGCACAATCACAAGAGGAGTGAGTGCCACCAGACAGAGTCCAATTGCCTGCACCTCATCACAGCCATGAATGAGGAGGATTATGGGAGTTACGCATGCATCTCAAGAGAGCAAGACTACACGGAGGTCATAAGGGAGTACCAGCTAAATCCTGTCAGCATCAACGTGGCACCCCACATCTCAGCTCTTCAGTCAGTCTGTTCTGTTGTTGCTTCTTTGCTTTTCCAGCTGGGCATTTAAAGCGATCGACTCAACTGGAATCATAGCTGAGCAGCTTAACTATCTCCATTTCAGCCTGGCTCAGGGAGCTTCACAAATATGGCAAAATGTTCTGAGTGAAATGTGGTGAAAAGTGTCACCCACTGATCACAAATTCAGGGAATGGCTCATATTTTATGTTTGATAAACACAAGCTGCGGTGCTAATGTTTGTTGAGGCAAAGTGCTTGATGTCAACAGATCTCGTTTCCTCTAACTGGGCTCATTCAGTGAAGGTCCACTGGTTCACTGAATTTGATCCATGTTTCACTCGAACATCCGGGTGTTCTGCATCACAACTGTCCAGTAGAGCATTGACATATTTTGCTATAAAGGCAGACTAGCAGCAAACTACTGTATATTTAAAAAAATATTCTAAGGGAAACTTTATTAATGTGTAGTTGTGCTTTGCCAGGAATCTGCTCACATTAATACTGATCTGTGTTTTAGAGTCTTCATAGAATGTAAATACGTATACAAGGGTCCTCTGCTTAACATTCAGAGCAAATTTACATTTAGCAGATGTACAGAATTTGGTCCAACCAGGATAAGGAGGAAATGTTTTCATCAAGAGAGCAAGACTACAGTGAACACTCTGGTTATCATGCAGCCACTGTACTGGTTGTGACAGAGCCTGCCTGGTTCACCATGAAGGTGAAAACAATAGGGTTTGAAAAAATGAAGTGTAGATATCAACTGAATTGTGCAGTTATCATGTACTTACAGTGGATGAGTAGCAATAAAAAGAAGACAGAAGGCAGGTTATGAGTTGAGATTTGCCATTAAGAATCCATTTGGGTATCTCATTAACTTAGACTACAGGGAAGAAAGAAACATCTAAAAACCAAGAAGGGAAAAGTTGTTAAAGTTAAATCAAGACAAAAATGGTTTAGGTGAGTTTAGGTTAAGTGTCAATATTGAAAATATATGACTTTTAGCACTATGGAGCATATGCAATAAAGTCTGTCTAGTCTACAGAACGATTTGGGGCTTTACAGAACTGTAATGAAGTACAGAGATGTTACAAATATTTATTATATCAGTACTTAAGATAAAAATGTATTTATTTTGAAGCAGATATTGGGAAAAGGACGTGTGCAAGCTATGTCTTTAACATCCCTGGAATAATAACTATAGAGTTGTCAAGAATTATTTTCTTAATGCTGTGAGAGTTTATTTTTGTAGGATCATTTAAATACATGGGATTTGTAGTGTGATGGGACATGTTGTGGGGTTTTTACAACAAAAGACAAACAGTACTAATGTACCACTTGGTGTTGGTTCTTCAGTTATTGATAGCGTAAAACACTGCCTTAACCCTGGAATGTATCTGGTCGCTTTTCTCTGGAAGGGTTCCAGATATTTTCTACAATATGGTGACCAAAGTTGGACACAATATTGTTAATAAGTCCTTAATAGTGCAATTGTACTGTAGTTACTGTACTATAATACACAATTTTGCTATAGATGTACATTATTCATTTTTGAGTATATTTCTTAACATTGCTTTTGCCTTTTTATTGCTTTCCTACAGTACATTCAGTACATTGTCTAGCTGATAAAAATGAAGTTTCAACATAGACACTGGCCTTTTTGTTTATGAGGACTTTATACTGTAAGTGTCTTACCTAAATTAACCTCTCTTATCTCAGCGTTTTCCTTTTTATATTCATAGTTTGTTTTTTTGCTACCAGCATATAAAACACTACACTTGTCTAAATTACATGTCTGCCAGGTATTTGCTCAGTCTCTGATTTAGCTATTTTTTTATTTCAATTGCCACTTCTGCAATGTTTGTTACTCCTCCTAATTTGGTATCATCTGCACACGTATGTTAGTTTACTAACTGTAACAGGATATACAGCAGATCACACATACAGTATATATTAGGAAGAGCAGTGGTCTTAGTACAGATCCCTGTGGTACTCTACTAATTACACCACCAAGCAATTGACCCAGATAACCAACCTATGTTGGGTCAGTGATGCTACAGTATAAATTTGTTTGGTGGACATTGGTTCATTGTTACATCTCTACAGTTGAGATAGTTATAGTTTATTCTTGACCAATCTCATACTGTGTTTGGTTCCTTTGTTTTCAGGGATCTTTGATATTGATATTGATCTTTGTTTTTGGTCAGTCTCCTTCTTATAGCTACTTATGTTGAGAATAATGTCTTTGAAAGACTTCTATAGGGTACTTAAAACCCCCCAAAGATATTAGAAAAAATATAATGAATTTATAGGGGAAATAAAGGGTAAGGATTAGGATACTAAAATGATTAAAACTATTAAATTGAGATATGGGGTGTCTCCAGTCACACACACATACAGTATATATGCAATGATGGCTTGTTATGGGGTAAACCCATGTAGAACAAATAATGTCTATTATATCTGTTTGTTATGGTGTGATTTGCAAGTGTCTGTACATCATTAACTATACACTTGGTCATGGGGGCCATAGAGGGCAATAAATTGAATAAAAGTGAGGAGAAACTAGAATAGAACTATGTATGCTACAGGTCGTGACAACAATGCTTTTATAGCAGGGTATTTGTGAAACCAAGGATTGGGTACAAGAAACAGTTTGAAATGATCTAATCAACAAATAAGTTCAACTTAGTGAAAATATCTGAGGTTTACTGATGCTGGGAGAAAGTCTCGTGGGGGAAATAAGATCACTTTATTAGCCATATACAGTTTCTTGTATTAGGAATTTGTCTTTTCACATACTGTACCCCAACCTGCTCTCCATTAGATACACAGACACACAGACAGGGAGAGAAGCTTGGGGTCAGAACGCAGGGTCAGCCATTAATACGGCACCCCTGGAACAGTTGGGGTTAAGGGCCTTGCTCAGGAGCCCAACGGGGTAGGATTCCGCGGGATACGAACCGGCAACCTTCCTTAATGCTATTTAAGAAAAGTCATTGATAAAGGCAACTGCTGTCAATTACAATCATTCTAAGATCATTCAAAGGTGTCTTGGGTGGCACAGTGACATGGCTGGATTAATTGGTGTACTGTATAGGTTGTCCATGTACACTTGTGGCTGTGTGTGTCCTGAGGCACTCTTGCATACCATCCTGGTTCTAATCCTGGTCTTGCACCCTATATTTCTAGCACAAGCTCATTATTGCTGCAAAACGTTCTAGGAATAGGTAGTTTTCTAATAATGGATGGATATGGTGAAGACATAGAGCCCTTCTATTGTAGAAACTTTCCATGCCTAATGCTTTCTGTACAGGGTTCAGGACTGATGTAAGTGAAGGGAAAAACCTACGACAGTACAGCAAGTATTTGTAGGAAAACTTGAACAACCGGATAAAAGTTTGTCTCAAAAAAGTTACCTTGTCTTCTGTTACTTCACATTACGCAATCCTACATTAAAAGTCTTTAGAGTTATAGTGCATAGGTATACTCTGAGCACTGCTGCTTTTTCATCAAGTGTGTGCAGAGTTTTCCAGCAAGGAAGGGAAATTTATACCTCTTCAATTGTTAATGCTTGTCTCAGGTAAATGGAAAATGCATTTATAATTTACTCCATGCTGCAAACTATTCTTATCCTCTTGTATTACTTTGCTGTCTTTATAAAAGAGCAGTGACTCCATAACAAGACTCACTGTTACGTCTCATTTATAAAGCACAGGGACACAATAACATAGCACAGACAGAAAGCTCTTTGTCATTGCCTTTCCTTTCTGGTGTTCTTTTTTAACGTGTTGCCTTTTTGGATTTCCCAATGACTTGAAACAGAAAAGGTGTTTGAATTGATCTCTCCAACTGCATGTCACACAGACGTCCTTTTTAAATTCCCCCCAGAAGTAAAATATAAAGACAGTATATGTCTTGTCATTCCATTATCAGACCATACCAGAGACAGGATGATTTATTTGCACCACGTCATCCAGCTATTATCAGAATGCCCTTTATTCTTGCCACAGGCCATGCCACAGCCTGTTCTGGAAGCATAATGCACAAGGCAGGACTACGCCTACCGCAGAACCCAGGCACGAATACTAGGACCTTGTGGACATACTCATTACCCCTGACAGTGTGTCCTTGGATGGTGGGAGGAAACCAGTGCACCTGTAGAAACCCAGGCAAGCACAAAGATTACTCAAACCCCACACGGAAGGCCAGCCAATCTGGAATCAAATGTAGGACCTAAGAGCTGGAAGGCAGCCAGACTATTTACTGCCCCACTGTGCTGCTGTAATGTGTCACTCTTGATGCTGCTACTGTAGATATTAAACTGGCTAAAAGAGAAACCAGATTACAGTACATAACTCATAAATGACTGCATGCTGCCTTGCTAGGCATTCTTTATCTTGATGATCACATCATCAAGCTCTGGTAAATTACAGTTTTCTGATTTTGGTCACAATTATTAACAGGAAAGGTGGAGTTACCATTGGATTTCTAAATATACCCACGCAATGTTAAAAGACACTCAAGAGCAAAGTTCAGCAATAACAACTGAGTCTTATGAGGAATCCCGAACATTAACTTTCAATATCTTGATAAATTTAAATATTACAGATGAAACAAACAAGTCAAGTAATACAAACAATTTTTCTGGTTGAAAGGTGCCACTGAGTATTTTAACTAATTCGTTGATAAAAAACATAATGTACATGTTTATTTGGTGGTAAGAGTAACTTTTTTTTTTACGTTGGGGCTCTGTAAAAAGGTTCTTCCTTTATTGTTTCCAAGACCAGATAGACGACTGAAGCAATTTTTATATTTGTTTTGTCTTATAAAAGAAAAGGGGGAAAAGCACAAATATCCAACTACTGTCCACTACGTACATAGTACAACACAATGTAGGCTGTGAATTAGAGCATCATACTACTGTCCTCCCCCCCTTAAATTAAGATCATTGTGTGTATTTTTGTTTGTGCTAAAATTGACATGAAAAAAAACAACTGTCCCCTCTGACATCCTCTGCAGAGCACGTGCACGTTCGTCCATTGTAATTATAAGGTGATTGTGTTTGGCAGGAAAAGATGTTGTAAGCAAAAATGTTGAATGTATTGTAAATGTATTTTCATAAGAGCAATGAATGGAACCTGAGCTTTTATGTATTTTATTGTAACCCCAGGACAAGTACTGTAAGTGAAACGAAACCATCTGCACAAAACTATACACCAAGCAGAAATTCTTTTTCTGATCTGAATTGCTTTCAAGACAGATACTGTAGGAAAAAATGTTATCAGGAAGTCCTTGATCTTCTGCTGTATTTTCACCATCCATTTGTGCTGGACATGCAATACTGACGTTATATCATGTACTCACGCAATACTACATTAAAAGTTATTTTTTCACTCATCGAGATAAGTGGATTAAGAGTCACCCATTCCTCTCTAGCTATCAGACTCAATGTACAATTAAGGAAGTCATTCATCTCGAATACATTGTTGATTTATGGTACCAAGTTATTGTTCATTTGTTACTTAAATAGACATTAAAGGCTGGGAAAACATGGCACACTCATTGTGGTGATACAAACATTCCATATTCATGACGCAAGGACCAGAACAATTGCTTGTGATTGTTTTCAAGTCAGACGCCTCACAAATGTCTGGCACTCAACTGCATCTCATTGCTGACAAATGTAAACTACTATGGACAGGTAGTGGGAACAAAGACCATCATTAAAAACTGGGTGGCACTGAACCTGCTCGAGCAAGCTACTGAAAAGACTTTTGGTCTGATGATGATTCTCATTTTCTGCAACCAAAAGCAAAAAGACCAAAGTAAAAGTGACAAAAAAATTAACATACAGTATAGTGCAGTGAACCAAACCATATCCTTAGGGAGCTGTCATGTCCACTGTGACAAAAGGCCAGCCAAGATGAAACTAAGCAAAAATTCTACTTTTCTGCGATTTCTGAATGCATACCCCATTAAACAGTATTCCATTTTGTTGTCAGAACTTTCTTTACAGTTACGTATTCTAAAGATTCTTCATTATTGTTATGCTCATCCAACATTCATCCTAAAGTTGTGTTTCATAGAACACAGGATACACTTCAATCTGTCTTCCCTGAGTGTGCCTGCCTTAAGCTTCGGAATTCACACACCTGCAAAGATAAATCCCATCGTGTTTTGCCAGCTGCCTGAAAGCCAATGCTTATCTTTTCA